GCATTTTTGGTGTTTTTGAAGAATCACCTATTTCCGCTTCTTGTAAACTGTGCTTTAGAACATCACTCGTAGTAGCCAATTGAAACATTCCGCAACAGCGCATCATGTGTGACATATAAAGTTTTGTTGTGCAACTAACTTATCCGAAACATGTTGCACCAGGTAACAATGCAACATACAGTGTTTAGCATAGATTTTCACAACACCTCATTTGAAAATGTCACTCCACTTCGCTTGTAGACACAAAACAGAACACAAATCATTATCATTAAATAACAATAACAACAATAATGCCCTGTCTAGCACACCAATTCTCATATCTTTTTTTATATTTTTCAATGAAAAATAGCACTTACCTCTTGAACGGATGTTGTCAAGCAGACTTTTATTATTATTATCCGCACTGTCACTTGTGTTTCGCACTGCTTTGGACTGATAAAGTAAATGAGGCAATGTTTCGAATTCTCTCTCCGGGTATGGCTCGATCCTCTTCTCGGCAATAACGCTATGTATGCCGAACAAATTCACACACAATTTTTTACCTTCCACAACCCGAGTACACCAGAATCAGATGTTGCTATCGAAGTGATAAAGCGAAACAAATGCACAACACGTAGGTGTAAAAATGCAACGTTGCTACCTACTAGGCTATTTCGATGGAGGAGATCTGCGAGCAGATTTGAATCGATTTCTTCTTCTCTGTCAAAAGTTGCCCCGATTCCCCAAGATAATGAATGAAAACTTTTTCCTGATTACGAGCTATCACCTCACGAAACACAGCTCTCTCGACACCCCGATCAACGAAACTCTATGCTAGGCCAAAGTACAACAGTTTTGTTTTTCTATATAGATACCTATAGAATAGCTTTGACCAGTGTTCCAATGACCCTGATGGAATTTGTTTTGCTGATATGCAATTGCAAAATAAAGCCAACCTTTGCCTTGTTACCTTCTTCTCTTGCCCGCACGGATCGAACGTGTATATACCGAAGAACCTTTTATTGGAGTAAATGAACCTTAAAAGAAAGTGGTGTTGTGTTGTATGTACGACCTGTCCGACGTATTTAGCTATTGCTCGCAGTAGTGGTGGTAGTGTGGTGCGACATATGCTACACTGTTGTTGCATACCATCAGGGGAGGCATGGCATGTTGCACATACATTTTCATTGCGTCGAGGGTGTGTTGTGCAACAGGAGGCGTCATGGGTGCGAGCATAATATGTAGTGGTAGATAGCCGCAGCAGCATGGTGCCATGGTTTTTCAAACAGCATGATGAGATTGAGAACAGTGCTGTATGCGCAGTAAAAAAAGAGTATTACACTAGTTTACAAAACAACATAAAAAGTGTGAACTTTAGTGGTTGACCAACGTTTCTAATGCAAAATCCTACGCTGAATTCAATGCCGTGGTCAGAAAAAAATTAAAGTAGAGCCATTTTTGAGATATACAAAAATTTTGATTTTTTGAATTTTGGACAAAAGTACGATTACTAAAATGTCAATATCTTTGGAACTAGTACACCAATTTTAAATCTTTTTTTATGAAAATGTTTTACAGTCAGTTGTTGGTAATGCATCGAGTGTATGTCTCCTATTAAGCAACATTTTTTTGATAATGTTGGCTCTGCATGTAAAAAATTAATTGTTCATACATTATTAGGGTTTGCTTAAAATTTATTTCCCGAAAAAAAAAAGATCGTCATAGTCCATGTCTTTCTCGGGTTATTGTTAAGGGGGAGGGGGAGGGGACTGTTAAGCGGGACGGGGTTTTACATGCACGTTTTTTCAAGTCTCATTCCTCATTGTGGTGGACACGCCGTGATCCACCTTTAGCCGCTGACCTAGTCCTGCTTGATGCAGGACCTAGTGCCACGCCGTCTGAAGTGGTAATGAGCAGAGGCATGAGAGCAGCGCTGATTTATATCTTTTCAGGTTCAAGCAGAATGATGTGCAACCAAGTGGTATTCGTTTATGATGACTGGGTTTGGGAAAAAGGCTTATTTCATGAAATCAGTGATAAAATTATCATTTGTACATTTTCAAAAGTTTAATTACAGAAAAATTGGAAAAATATTTCTTTCAACAGGTTTGTAATGTAATATCCTATCGATTGGCGTATTTGGATTTTAATTTCATCTATAAATGACAAAGTTACAAGCGTTCAAAACCTAACACGCCTTCACCACAAATATTTTTTGATTTGCACCCCAGTATAGTCGACAAAGACCCATTCTCACACTAACTGCCGCTCATACGGCAAAACTGACTTCTACGATGGGAACCTTTCTGTGGCGAGGCATTGCAGCAAGAGTTCCAATGCAACAGCTCGCGCGTAGCAAAGAAGCAGGTGGCTTGAAACTGCACTTGCCAGCTTTAAAGTGCAAGGCGCTGCTACTTAATCGACATGTGAATGATATCGCTTCCCTTCCCTTCTATAGGTCCTTTCTCACTCAGCAAAATCCCACTGCTCCCGCAGATTGTCCTTGCCTCAAACTTATCCTTTTAAATCTCCCAACATTCCCTCCGCAAGTCCAACAAAACCTTACCGCCTTTTTTTTCCCCCTTTGATTTGTTTTCCGTCGATCTTGTTTTCCGTGCTGAGCACCAATGCTACTGACGCCAGGAAGGCAGCTCCCACACCTGGACCCATCAACTCATGAACCGGGGACCAACGACTTTACTTCCCTTCCGAAGGAAGGCGTGATCAGAGATGTTATGCCTCAGAACATCCCGGCGGCGCCGACTGGGATTGAACCCAGGCCTGCTGGGGTGAGAGGTCATCACGCTTACCACTACACCACCGGCGCCGCTGTACCGCCGATAGTATTCATAACCATTTCATCGAACAAACTGAAACCCCCAAAGTTACTCGTGAGTATCCAGCAGCAAATTGGCGGCAAATCTGGACAAATATAGCCATGCGACAGCTGAATTCAAGTGAACGAAGTACCTTATTCTTGTTAGTCAACGTAAAAATTGAGCACCGAGAACTGATGTACCGAATGAACAGAACCGATGGTGAAAACTGCCTACACTGTAACGCTGCCTGTGAAACACTGCAGCACAAGTTCAGTGAATGAATGCAACTCATATATGTTTTCTTGAAGAATATTAACCATAGATTGTAAGTTTGATTAACCTTGTGTTTAGTTTGTGTTTTGTATGTGTGTGTGTATTTTTTTTTTGTAGATTTGTTTCTGTAATAATTGTATAATTACAGAGTTGATATAACGTCGATAGGATTAAGTATTTGTTTTAGAAATAGTGAAATTTTTGAATCATAAATCATATTCCAAATCTCCTTTTCCCTCTCCCGATCCAAACAATTGTCATCCACTAACCTCGAGAAGACCGCGAGTAATCGGTTCCAATCCTTTAATTTTAGATTTAAGACATTTATAATGTATAAAGAAAATGATAACTTGGCTCTGTAAAGTTTATTCGAATGAGCCTGTACAAATAAAGTAATTAACAAAAAAAAAAAAAAAAAGTTCAGTGAATGCGTACGCGTGGAGCCAGCTTGGAGACTGCTGCAGCGGAAAATAACGATTATACCAAAGATGAATACTACACACTTAGTTTTTTCTACCGAGCTTGGCTGTGCAAATCTCGGCAAAATAAGTTTCACTGAGATCTCAGCAAAAGTGACATTTGATTGCTGAGTGTCGGATAATGCTTAGCTGAATCTCAGCAAACAAATGTCACTTTTGCTGAGATCTCAGTGAAACTTTTTTTGCCGAGATTTGCACAGCCGATCTCGGTAGAATAATCTAAGTGTGTAAGATGAAACCAAAGATGAATACTAAGATGAAACTGTCGGAAGACAAACTTTCTATTTTAGTGTCCTCTTTCACGGTCCCTTTCATCCAATGAATACCCCCCGTATGCAAGGTAATTTTGTGGTTTTGCTGCCCCCTCGGTAGAGATGAAATTTTGCGTTCTTTTTTTTATCAAAACAATCACAACTAAAATCAGAGCTGTCTCATTTTTTTAATTACTCGATTAACAGCTAATCGATTATTTTTTGTTCGCTGTGCTGTCATTTTTCAACCAATGAGAGTGCAGCATATGTTTGTAACGATGGGTGATGATCCTCTGGAGAAGTTAATGCTTATATCGGCATGATATAACCGATTACAAATATTTTACTGTTCGGTTCGTTAATCGATTATTCGAATGAAAATTGGCCATCACTAGATGAATGTGAAACGTCGTTTCAAATATAAGGGCCGTACATAAATAATGATACAATTTGAAAGGGATCGGGGCTCATCACAAATTACGTCCCCACGGTAACTGAAATAATCACGAGTGCTGACCGGTTGGTGTTAGTTTATGTGAGCTGATTTTTTTGGTAAAAATATCGTTTGCTGTTTTTCAGTACATCATTGGATTGCTGATCATGATCCAGCAATGCAATTTGTTTGACTGATAAGGGTCTGTTCATAAACTACGTAGATATTTTTTTTGGGATTCTTGCCCCCCCTCCCCCTGCGTAGACAATTGTCCATACAAATTTTTTTAAATTGGTATGGGCCGTGGATAGTTATCACCCCCCCCCCCCCCACCGCATTAACTCATGCATGAGTTTTAAGTTTTTGAGTTTTTCCGAACACTGGACCGTAGACACTCGCTAATCCCTTCCCACTTGCTAAGATGTCTAAGTAGTTTATGAACAGTCCCCAAACAATCGATCAAATTTATATAAATTCTAGATAGAGCTGGAATTAGGGCCCAACAGCTTTTGTAAACAATGACTGATGATTTCTAGAAATTCAAGGCTTGCCCACGCAAACCAACATCCTCATCGGGTAGGGAAAGACTTCCCCTATCCGATAGTTGGGTTGGTCTGCGTGGACGTGCCTTGAATTCCTAGAAATCATCGATAGAAGTCATTGTTTAGCTGCTATGCCCTAATTCCAGGTCTATCTAGAATTGCGCACAGTGATACATCGACAAAGGATATGAAAAAATTCACCTTCATTATTAATAGGTATTTATTTAAGTCTCACTACTTTTATACACGATTATTACAAAGCATTTAGCCGCGCTACTACGACGAATCAAACTAAAAACCATGCCTAAATTTTGTCAGCTACTTTATAACTTTTAAATATATTAAATTTGTATGCATCTACACTTGAAAGTAATCACTACATTTCGTGAGGTTTGTATAATCATAAATAACTTTCAAAAAATCGACAACATTTTAGAAAAATAATAAATATAAGGACAATACGGTTTGACTCTGACATCAATAAAATGGCTTCAAATGAAGAGGAGGGGTGAGGTACCGGTTTTAAAATAGTCTAGCATAGTTGTTTCATAAAATGATGGCCCTAAAACTTTTTGTTTCCAGCTAAAATCTGTTTCTCAGTTAAACGTTTCATTTTTGTATCGATTTTGCGCCAAATTCCTACTCGAAGCAGCAACAGTCAACAGGACGGGTATTAAATCGGGTTAGAATCAGCTTTACGTCTGCTTGATGATGTGCTTCGAAATGAGCTCGGTCGCTTCACTGGCATTCGGGATCAGGAATCGATCCATATCGGTGATGACGAGGCTTTCCTCTTCGGGATAGCCGTACTTGAAGGTGATCAAATCCCGGTGTCGCTTCTTGGCTGTGATTTTTACGATCGACTGCAGCGGGCGCCGGACGATGATGCGAGCTTTGTCCTTACGATCCAGTTCCCGCAGGACGATGATATGGGAGGCCGTGACGAGTAGGTAGCTATCATACATGTACCCATTGAGGTGAACTTCTTGGCACTTGAAGTGACGGATTACATCCGGCTGCTTTAGATAGGACTGAATCGAGACAATTTCGTCGGATGATTCGGGATTAGGTGTGGCTTGCGGGCTTGGAAGGTCGTTGGATGAAGGAAGATCTTCGTCGTCCTGGTCTTCGCCAATACTGAAGACGGGTGGTACATTGCGATAGCGTTTGCCATTGCGCTCATTCCGGGACACGTGCTTCTCCGGAACAGGAACAGTCGGGTTCGGGTTGGAGATGTAATCGATTAGCTTTCCCTTCACTTCAGCTGATTTTGATTTCATTACTGAGGAAAGCTTGCTAAACAGATCGGCCGTGGGTTTACGCTCTGGGCCCTCGGGGACATTGTTGTTACGACGATTCTCCGGTCTTTTCAAGCTGCCTGTGTTGGTGATGTTGTTGTTATTTACGCTTTTGCCGTATGGGGCCTGGTTCTTGTTGCAAACGAGACATTTCAAGGGATCGTGATCTTCCAAGCAGTCAATCATGTTGTCTCCAAAATATTCATGAATCGCCTCGTAGCCACCCGTGAGTAGTGAGACATATTTGGTGTTCTTTTGAAGAAATGAGGCAACGACCATGTGGGTATACTGGTCCTCTTCAAGCCGTCCGGAACCAAGAAAGCACAGGTGCTCTCCGCCTGCATTAGAATTAGCCTCGATTGCATTCTTCTGCGATCTCAGGAGACCCTGAACGGCAGTTTGGAATGCTACCGGTTCCTGAAGCATCAGATTGCTATCCAAATGGAATGCCGTCGAGAGGTGTCCGGAGTTGTACTGCTCGGCCGGACGGCAATCAACCAGAAAGAATCTCACCGCATCCGGATGACTGCTTTCACTGGAAGCATTTTCTACGAGTTCATTGACCGAAACGGGTAAGCACAATGCCTGTGAGACGACATTTTCTTCCACGGCGTTACTCTGGGCTCCGAATAGGACTTTCAAAAGGTCTCGCTTGAACGAGGATGGCGTTTTCATCGAGTAGTACTGGGCCAGCGAGCAAAAATCCATCACATCATCCGCTTCGATGTTACACGGCATATTGACTAGAAAACTGAGAAGTTCTTCTTTGGAGGCACTCTTCATTGCGAGAACCTGATCCCGGCCATTGATCAGTACGATTAAGCTAAGAAAGAATGCTAGAAACGGATCCGACTGTTGGAAGTACAAATCCCACATCGCCAGAACCACCTGAAGGGTACAGGTCGATGCAAATAGCGTCTGAAACCAACTCATCGCATAGGTATCCGGTGTTACCCGCTTTGTGTCCAGTATGGAACACAACTCCGGATCGTGATACTGCAGTAACAATCTAAATATATGAAAAACATTTCCATTCTTGACACATCCCTTCGGAATGTACGTATCCCGAAGTGCTTCGAACAGATTGTAAGTATCGGACCGCAAAAGCTTCAGTGACAACAACGGCAACAGCAACTCAATCCACCCGTTGTTCGATTCGTAAACTAGACTTCTATTTTTGCAGTAGAACGTCAGAATCGATTCCAAATCCGCAACCACCACCACCCGATCCTCCTCCTCATTGCCCAGCTTCTCCACAAAGCTGTGACAATCCTGTCTAAGCTTGGTTTGAAACGGCAAATCGAATATCTCGTTGAACTGCATGAGCTGATCCATTTTGCTTCTCACATCCAAACACACCTGCCACACATCCGGACGCAGCGCATCCGGTATGGCCTTGCCCTGACATATCGCATAGACATCATCCACCGTGCAATCATCGAGCAAAGCTGACTCCAGTTCAATCAACCTAAAACAAACTCCTCTTATCAACACATCGGCTCGCCGCTTATCAAGGTGACACTATTACTCACCACAAATTGTCATCCATTCTGAAGGCTGCAGAAGTTTCTTCAGAAAATTCCAGCGTAGCAAATTCCTTCCTTCCTCCGTCCAACCAAGCAGATGTTGCTACACAAGTTATATGTTGCAATCGAGAGACATTTTCTCTTGGCTACCCGCGAACGAACCTGCAACGGAAAACGCCTTAAGCCGAAGAATAATTACACAACGCACAACCAGTGAGCGACAAGCGATTAGCAAATAGGTTTTCTGAACTAATTAAACCACTTTGGAACACTTTTATTTACTTAATACTGCTGCTTGCTTGCTTGCTTATTTTTGTGCCAGCTCTTCGGGATTTTTTTAGGGTGACAGTTTTGGATGACGTTTTCCAGCTGACAGCCACACACAGCACGAAAATATGCTAGTGCACGAACGAGTCCCGAGTAGACAAGTGTACCAAGAAGTGTTTTGACGGTCAAGTTGTAAAATAAAATAAAATCACTTCAACACCTACACTCAAAATAATCTACACGTTGAAGCTACGTGAAAAATCACGTAAGCTCTCACTTTTTCCTCTCATATCAGTTTTACGTGGCTCAAGTAGAATGTATGTGATGTTCCTTGAATTTCTTTTTAACACACCTACATCAATACATCTATATAAATTGTATTCTAACTCTTTTCTGAAATGAACTTGGTGGCCCTGAAAAGGGCCGTTTTGTTACATTGGTGATAAGTTTTAACCTCCGAAACTGTACAGAATGCGTCCCTGTCGCTTCAGAGCGTAGATGACTTTCATTGATGACCCATTGATGTCGTCTACGCTCTGAAGCGACAGGGACGCACTCTGTACGGTTTCGGAGGTTAAAACTTATCACCAACGTAACAAAACGGCCCTTTTCAGGGCCACTAAGATCATTTCAGTAAAGAGTTAGAATAGAATTTATATAGAGTAACCCATGATTCACCCATTCAATTTGTCACTAAATACATCAACATGATTCAATAATCAAATAATTTGTTGGGGAAATATATTATGTTCTATTTGTAGTCTATCGGTGGCTTCATTTTTTTCCATTTCACTTTCATTAACTGAGAAACCCTCATCGTATGCATTCTCCTGCTGCGCGACATCTTCGAAAACGTCCGAACCGTAAAAAATTTCGTAGTCCTACGTCAACAATGCGGTTGTGTCAAAGATGAATACTAAGATGAAACTGTCGGAAGAAAAACTTTCTATTTGAGTGTCCTCTTTCGCGGTCCCTTTCATCCAATGAATACCCCCCGTATGCAAGGTAATTTTGTGGTTTTGCTGCCCCCTCGGTAGAGATGAAATTTTGCGCTCAGTTTGATCAAAACAATCACACTAAAATCAGAGATGTCCCATCTTTTAATTACTCAATTAACAACTAAACGATTTTTTTTTTGTTCGTTGTGCTGCCATTTTTCCACCAATGAGAGTGCATCACATGTTTGAAACGATCGGTGATGATCTTCTGAAGAAGTTAATGCTTATATCCTAGGGGCAAGTCAGCTGTACTCTGAGCTAATATATTAACATTGAGTAACTGTGAGTTACTCGTAGCTACTCAAAAAATAACAAAGTAGCCTTAATTTAACTTTTTTCAATCTGTCGTATTTACAAACAAAATAACGTCAGCCATCATTAACAGTTTTGTTTAGGATTTAGATTAAGATTTCCTTATTAAAGAGACTTTCAGCTGTAGTTTTGCTTAGTAAGTTATTTTTCTCTTAAAAAAACTTTCTTTTTTAAGATACTTTATAGATACTGCTACAAACTGAAAACGTTTCTCTATATTCCAACATCGATCATACGAACTCTAACAACTGGATTTACAGGAATGATTAGGGAATGATTGCATAGTTCGTCATCCTATTATTTGAACATTCGGTAGTGACGGAAAGGATGGTGTTTTAACTAATACTCTGCGCTTGTTAAGTTTTACCCTGATTAAAACCCGTTTAATTATTCCCAGATCATCAAGAGCTATTCCTGGTTTGTTTTCATTACGTGTTTGGTAGAATATTCGTAGTATGCTTTCAATTTACAAAGAGTTATTGGCAATGATTTTTCACTTCCACTGCGATATCTGGAATAATTATATGGTAGAAGCGACTTGTTCCTTAGTAATGGCTGACCAAAGTAATTAAAGTCATGCAAAATGCAGGGAATGCAACTGATACGCTAGAATATAAGAAAAGAAGTTTACAAAATTGTTTTGAACTTACACCGGTGTAGCATATGTGACACATAACTCGATCAAAAATTTTCTCTCGTTGACTGAGTTGCTGCGATATGTATTGACATGTTGACAACGATATTCATCATTGAGCAGCGCGAGTAACTCAGAGCTACTCAAAATTTGCTAAAAAATTACTCATGATTTAAAGCTGTCTGGCCCCTAGCTTATATCGGCCTGATATAACCGATTACAAATATTTTACTTTTCGGTTCGTTAATCGATTAATCGATTATACGAATGAAAATCGGCCATCACTAGATGAATGTGAAACGTCATTTCAAATATAAGGACCGTACATAAATAATGATACAATTTGAAAGGGACCGGGACTAATCACAAATTACGTCCCCCGGTAACTGAAATAAACACGAGTGTTCACCGGTTGGTTGTGTCTTGTACACCACCCTCCAACTTTTTTTCTACCGAGCTCGGCTGTGCAAATCTCGGCAAAAAAAGTGTCACTGAGATCTCAGCAAAAGTGACATTTGATTGCTGAGTCTCGGATAATGCTTAGCTGAATCTCAGCAAACAAATGAAATGTTTGCTGAGATCTCAGTAAACCAACCTGTGAACACTCGTGTTTATTTCAGTTACCGGGGGACGTAATTTGTGATTAGCCCCGGTCCCTTTCAAATTGTATCATTATTTATGTACGGTCCTTATATTTGAAATGACGTTTCACATTCATCTAGTGATGGCCGGTTTTCATTTGAATAATCGATTAACGAACCGAAAAGAAAAATATTTGTAATCCGTTATATCATGTCGATATAAGCATAAACATCTCCAGAAGATCATCACCGACCGTTTCAAACATGTGATGCACTCTCATTGGTGGAAAAATGGCAGCACAACGAACAAAAAAAATCGTTTAGTTGTTAATTGAGTAATTAAAAGATGGGACATCTCTGATTTTAGTGTGATTGTTTTGATCAAACTGAGCGCAAAATTTCATCTCTACCGAGGGGGCAGCAAAACCACAAAATTAGCTTGCATACGGAGGGTATTCATTGGATGAAAGGGACCGCGAAAGAGGACACTCAAATAGAAAGTTTGTCTTCCGACAGTTTCATCTTAGTATTCATCTTTGGTAAAACTGTTTTTGCCGAGATTTGCTGAGACTTTTTTTTTGCCGAGCTCTGTAGAAAAAACTAAGTGTGTATAACGTATAGATCGTGAGTAAAATTGATCGGTGGGTCATTCCAGTTTTCAACTGTAGCAACAATATTTTAAAATAGGATTTTTACGTATTTGGATGTTTCTGAGCATTCCAGATTTTTCCAGATTTTATATTCTAACTGCAACAGTTTTTTTTTTAAATGACGCTGACCGTGACAAATAGACAAGTTTTCAAAAGAGAACACGCAAGCTACAAACAATCAGTACATTGTAGTGCTCAAGAACCAATTTCTCGCTTCTGAATCGCCACTAAAATCGAATTTCAAGAATGTTCAATCAACGAACGTTGAAACTTTATCTGAAGAGAAGTAGTGGTATTTCAAATAAATGCTAAAAGAGTCTGGACCAGTTCATGTTGATCCTCGTGGACCGTCTACGGCTGGTACTATTACGTCAAGAAGAGGGATGATTTGAGGAAAGTATATGGAAACACAACGAGGCAGCTCTTGATTCCTTCGGTATGATCTTTCCTTTTTATCTATTGAAACTTCATATACATTAGTGTTTAAATTACGGCTTTATCAGTATTATTTAGCATACCAAAACGAACTCTTTTACAAACCTTTCACCAAGCTTGCAAATGCTCATTACAGCTAAAATGCTATTTTTCGGATTTATGAAGCTATGATATATTTAAATGATAATTCTTATTTACAAGATGCAAGAACAGAAGGTAAAGTGTGTGTATGACACATAAAACATGTCAATTTAGCTTTCAGAGGGTCACAATAGCGATTAACTGTAACGATGAGCAACGCGATGAGCGAGCAATCAGCTGTCATAAAATCGATAAGCTGTGACCTTCTGAAAGCAAAATTAACAAATTTAATATGTCATGTACACACTTTACCACCTCTTCTTGCATCTTTCAAATAAAAATTATCATTATAGCATCCTATTGTTTCATAATACCGAAAAATAGCATTTTAGCTGTAATGAGCAATTGCAAGCCTGCCTTTCCCTACATCCAACATCCCAGTGATTTCTCGTGGAAGCGTAGATGACTTCTCGGTTTCCTTCAAAGCGAGTATCACGTCAACACATTCTTTCCCTAATAAAAATTGTATGGTTAATTTGCTTAACGACGTGTTCTGAGTATCATCCAAACCATTTGTTGAATAGTTCGATGATTTGGGTTATCGTTCGTTTATGGTTATTTTTTATTAGGGTTCCCATCCCCTATTTGACCTGAATTCGGACACGGCCGGCGCTACACGGTAACCGCAAAATACCCAATAATGACTACAAAGTAAGCATTTCCGAGGGAAACTGGGACTACCCATTAAATGAGTAAAATTTCACCCTTTTAAGAGTAATTACAACTACAAAAACAAGTAGTAAGTATTCATTTTTGAATAACAAATACTCTTAAATGGGTAATCTGTTTACTCATTTAATGGGTAGTCCCAGTCTCCCTCGAAAATGCTTACTTTGTAGTTATAATTGGGTATTTTGCGGCTACCGTGTAGTGTTGCTAATATTAGATCTCCAGTTTTTACACATTGAGGATTAATGTTAGTCCCAAACATCATCTGTTGGTTCTCTGTACAATTGCAGCTGATCTGGCAATAACAGAGCAGCAACCGTGGGCGGTCAATCAGGCTCAATGTATCCATACATGTTCATCAATTTTAACAAGACATCAACATTTTTTTCTCTGTGTGTATATGGGGGTTAAGTGGGTTAACCAAGAATTTTCACTGCTCAACTAAAGTACTCAAACAATGAAGAAACATTTTAGAAGACATCAAAATACTACACTCAATAGAGATTTTCACGTCTGGTTGTATTGGTGCGATATGTGAGAGCGTGTTAGTGAATATCCGAGGAAAATACATAATAAATCGATGTCAA